TATAGATGAACCTTAGGGTCATCATGCTAAGTGAAATAAACAAGGTACAAAAACACTAATATTGCATGATTTTACTTATATAAGGTCCCTAGAATAGTCAAATTTATAGGATCAGAAAGTATAATAGTGGTTTATAAGGGGTTGGGAAAGGGGGAAATGGGGCATTACTGTTTAGTGGGTACAGTTTGAGTTCTGGAAGGTGAAATGTTTGGAGATGGTTGGACAACACTGTGGCTGTACTTAATATCAGTGAACTGTATACTTGTCAATGATTACAATGGTAAATTGTATGTTATGTATATTTTATCACACACACATAGCTTCCCAATACTAAAGGCAAATGAAGAGAAAGAATATGGAGCGATCCCAGCTCCCTAAGGTTCTCATCTCTCCTCATAACCCAGAGAGACATCTTGGGGTGGGAGGGACGAACCACTCTATGTGCTTCTTGGAAAGGGGTTTGAAGCGAGGAAGAAAGCGAGGGTCCTCTGGGTGTCTTCTGGAAGCAGGCAGTATTGCACTAGAAAGAGAAGGAGTAAGGAAAGGAGAAACAAGGAAATGGCAAGTCAGGAGGACTGCATAGGCAAGGGCAGTGAAGAGATAGTGTGGGTGCTGCTTGCCGATGACTACTTTTCCCCAGTGATACATTCTGAGGCTTCCAGCAGGCCCCCTCAATTCAAGTAAACCCCAACAAGAAAGGAAACCATCCAACACCATCAGTTTATTCCATGAGTGGCTATTTAAACACAGGCTCTATGCTGAAGACTGGTGGTGTCAAGAAGGAACCAGAGATGAAACATGCTTTCAGAGAAGTCACAGACTTTTAAGTTAAACAGCCCAATGCACCACTGAATATAACCCAAGGGAGAAGGCACCAGAGGCCCTTGAACAAATCTGAGTAAGCACTGTGGAACAGATAGGAAGGAGGGAGAAATGCTGTCTGGCTGGAAGAGGTTGAGGGGACCTTGGGGAGGGGGAGGCCTTTTAGTTGGGCAATGAGAGATGGGCAGAGAGGGTCCTGTGCTTTTTTCTGTTGCTTTGTTCTTCTTGAGAAATAAGCTCCTCTTCTTATGCTCATAATTTAAAATATCCCAGACTGACTTCCTCAACCTATTTCTTACAGCAGAGCTTTATGTTAGCTTTATGTCTAAAATCTTAGTGAGAACAAATTAGTTTACATAGACTGTCAGTGCAGGTAACACTTGGACATGTGACTGACATGTGACCACAGAGACATCAATTACTATATCAAATATTGATCATGCAAATATATTTAGACACACAGAGTAGGAAATTGTCAACCTGCAAATGAAATTTGACACCACACCTGTGTCTCTGAGATGCTAAATACATCAATGCAAAATGAAAACGTTTTATCCACTATCTACGCAGTTTTTCAACATGATGCTAGGTGCACAGTATCTGGAAGTGTATATATTCAGTTTTGGGGCCAAATATATGGCACTGGAATGTTGAGTATTATAAAAGAATAATTGTTGAAGTCTTTGAATACCAAGTTCAGGACTTTGGATTCAACTCAAACACCACCATCAAAATGAGTATTAGATGATGTATTATAGAACTGTACACCTGAGCTTCTGTGTTGGGAGCATATATTTTTACAAGGGTTTTTACTCTTGCTGGACCAATTCCTTAAGTGTTAATGAATGACCTTCTGTGTTTATTTAAAAAAAAAAGAATTGTATACCTGAAATCTATGTAATTTTATTAACCAATGTCACCCTGATATATTGAATAAAAAAGAAAACATAAATAAAGAAATGAGCATTAATCTTTCTCCCCATCAGAGCTGCTCAATGTCAGGACACACCAGAACTCAGTAGGGTGTGGCTGACACCTATTCCACAGACATGGCTGTTCGGCTCAGTGTGCAGATGATAAACAGTTGTTCGAGCCATGCCACAGGGATGGGGAGAGCTCACAAGCCACAGGAAAGACCCACCATGTCACAGGTGGGAGTAGAGCTGTGGTGCACATGCTCAAAAGCCCTTAGGAAACCCATGAGGAATGTGCCACTGCCGGATACTTGTAGTGGAAGGAATCTCTGGGGGCATAAGGGCACAAGGGTTTCTCTCTGTGGCAGCCTCCCTGCTGCTGACTCAAACTCCAGCTGAAACAGTGGAGGGGAGGGAGTCCAACTCTCTTCCAGTTTTTAAACCCCTCCACCCACAGGCTCACTAACTCCTCTGCTTTTTTTTCCAGTCCCACTGCACCAGCAGGCAAAATACCATGACAACCTGCCCTTCACAGGAAGTTGGGAATGCTGAGTACTGTTGGCTGCGTTGGGTCAGACCGGGCACTGGGACTGGCAGGTGCTGCAACTACTTAGCTTTGCCTTCATACCTGCTCCCATGGGCTTCCTCCTCCTCTGGAAGCTGTCCTTTGCCTCTTGCCTGGGCCAGCTGGGCCCCTGACAGGCACCTGGCATATACCCCTGGTTGAACAAACTAGTGGCTACAGCTACTGGCCAAAGGATTCCAGGTGGAAAAAAAAATATGCTGATGGATCGAGCAGAGGTCTGTAGAAATCTAAGAAATGGATAATCCAGACTTACCACTTGGAATGCAAAAGCGCATGCTCAGGTAGCCACACTCTGCCCCCGTGGACCGCCTGGCCCTCCCTGTTGCCTGGGGCCTCCTGCTGTTAGCCTGAAAGCGGCGGTGTGATGTGAAGAGGCCAGAGGTCACATAGCAGGCTACGGGGGAAGTGTTCTGCCCCATCCCCACCCCCAGGCCTGCCATGTGGCATCCTAGGGAAAGGATCCAGCCCTGCCCCCACCCTCACTCCCTAAGTGTGTGGAAGGGGGAGGGGGAATTTGAGTTTCTCATGAGCCTGTGTGTTCAGGCTGTGGGATCTTGGCCTTCCTGCCACAGAGCTGAATGACTCTTGCTTTCCTAAAGCTGCAGGGGCAGCAGAGGGGATAGAGAATAAGCCATGTCAAAAGACAAGTTGGGGGGTTGATGCGAAATGTGGCAGTGACTAGAAGACTGCAAGGAGCAGCCACCTTTGGGTTGGGGTGGGGAGTTTAGTTACTGCCTAAGGTAGTGGCCTGGACTTTTTCAGCCTCATCTGTGAGCCAGGTGAGTCTGGGACAGAGACTCACCCTCCACCCCAAGACACCTGGCCAGGGCAGCTCAGGTGGTGTTAACCAGCTGGGTGGTGCTCAAACTGTGCCAGTTCCCATCCCAGCCCAGATTTCCAGTCTGTCTGTGTCTTTCCCATCCTTCCTCACCTAACACACTCCTATTCATCCTTCCTAACTCTTCTCAGACCTCCTCTCCTCCAGGAACCAAATCCCAAAGCCCTTCTCAGCCAATCCCAGACCAAGGGCCTCTTTCTCGGCACCCTGTACTACCTTGTCACAGGGGGCTGTGACAAAGCACTGCTAACATTTTATTTGATCAAGTAAAGGCATTTTTTTAAAAACCATCATTTACTATAACCAAGATTTTATAAACAAGAGGACGTTTTAACATCAAAAAGTTGGAATGACAATTTCAGAATTTTAGAAACTGATATATTTGGCTTTATGAAAAAACTGTATCATCGTTTTTCTCATTTTTAACTCAGAAGAGTAAAAACTTTGTGAAGTAGGGGCACTCATTTGCATTTGGGAGCTATGGGCCTAAACAGCAGTTAGACAAATAAAAGCCTGTGTTGGAGTACATGGGAGCACTTCTCCTGCATTTGGACTGCATGCTGTTTACCAAGCCACCTGTACATGCTCACAACAGCCTGCCATGGAGGCATTGTTATTCCCATTTTACACATGAGGAAATTTAGGCTCAGAAGAAATGAAATTGCTTGCCCAAAGCCACACAGGTAGTTAAGACCCTAAATCCTTGTTCTCCTATGCCATGCTGCTTCAACACCATGGTGTCTTCAATTCAATTTAAGAAGCATTTATTGAATACAGAACTCCTGTTCTGCCAGATGCAAAGTTAAAGAGGGCTTGTCCCATATCTTCACAGAGCAGCAGGAACACTATAGATAACTTAAATAACATCCCCCTGCACCAAGGTTGTTGTGACAAAGAATGATAGAACTTAGGAAGGTTCTTAGCATGAGGCCAGGCATCCAGTAGGCATTGGATAAATATTAGTTTCCTAACTTCCTTCCTTTCCTTCTTCAAAGCATCAGTGAGTGATGTGGAAAACAGCCCTGCTGCCCATAAGCGCCCATGCCCACCAGGCGCAATGCACTCTACTGTAGAGCACATGAAAACTGCTGGGGTCTTCTTGAATTGTGTCCCTTAACATTTGATATGGTTCATCTCTATTCTTTCATCCATTACTGGGAGCTAAGGGTAAGAGCATCTGAGAGACAAGGTTAGAAAGGAAGGAGACAAGGACCAGCTCAAGTGAGGAGAGCAAAAGTTCTGGTGGGCTAGCCGAGGGGCAGGAATTCTTTACTCCTGGCTGCGTGACAAGGCGCAGCATGGGGCAGAAGAAAGCAATTGAAGGACCCATTGTTCAATTTTGCCAGAATGGAAGGGAGGGATGGGAAAGAGCAGGAAACAAGGGAAGTAAAGGAGGTTAGGTGCCCAGGTAAAGGGTCTGAGACAGAGGATGGAGGTTTGCTGAGTTCTCACATCTCCTATCAAGATCAACTACCATATGGGAAGATTCTTGGCAACCTCTCCACTGACAATGCAAATGCAGGAAAAAAAGGTTGATGATGAGTCAGGCTCTGTACTGGGTCCCTTTACCACATGTGCAGTTATTGTGGATGTCATAACTCCGGAGCAGGAAGTTGTATTATCCCCATTTTACAGATGAAGAAACTGAGGTTCAGAGAGACCAGGAAGCTCGCCCAAGTTAACACAGCTAGTGAGTGATAGAATAGGAGTGAATCCTCTAAAATCCACACTCTTCTACATAACTTCTCTGTTTCAATCAGATTATTTTACTCATCCAGTTCCCCAGGTAGCAGAAAAGCTGTACATGACTTTTGAGGAAGATTTGAGAAACAGAGATAAGGCTCATTTTGGTAGCACATATACTAAAATTGGAATAATACAGAGAGGATTAGCATAGAACCCTGCAAAAGGATGACATGCAAATCTGTGAAGCATTCCATATTTCAAACACAAAAAAAAGAAAAAAAAGAAAAGAAACAGAGATAAATTGTGAAGATTATTCGAGTAGTCCAGATATAAAACAATATGCCTCTAAGCAAGGCAGCAGTAATAGAACTGGACAGGACGAGACACATGTGATGTGGAGACAGACAACTGCTCCTTTTCATTCTCCTTTGTGTGCTCATCTTTTTCTACCTACCTCTTGGCATTCATGGAGGCTCTAGGCCTTGTATCCTGGAGTACTCTGTACTCCATAGAAGATCCAGTCACAACTACGGCTGAGCACCCTCAAATGTGATCTTCAGCCACTGGTGTCTTGGTAAACCATCTGGGACAGGGGTGGGGAGGGGACACCCTTTGTAGCATTTGCCAACTTCCTTCCTTGCTATAAACACTTTCATCATAAGCAATTTGAATTAACCAATGGCTTGATAACCAGCTTGCAAACCCACCTCACACTTGTTCCTCTCACCCCTCCAGCCACACTGGCATTCTTTCCGTCCCTTGAATACAGCATGTTCCCTCCTGTCATAGGGTCTTTGCACAAACTATTTCTTCTGAAATGCTGTTCCTTCTCTTCTTTGCCTAATTAACTCCTAATTATGCTTCATATTTCATCTCAATTATCAATTCCTAAGAGAAGCTCCCTCTGACCTCCCTGACTGATGAGGTCAAAGCCCCCATCCATGACAGGTCCCCCCCCGCAGCATGTATACATTTGTCTGTGTGACTATTTGGCTAATATCTGCCTCTAGCACTGGACTGTGAACACAACGACGGTAGAGATTGGGTTTGATTTTGTGGATCATTCTAGCTCTAGTTCTTAGCATATATTATATATCCTCAATAATTACATATTGAATGCATGAATAAATGAGCAAATGAATGAATGACTCTAAAGATGAAGCAACATAGAACTCTGGAGTGAGACTACCTGAGTTTGAATCCAAGCTTATTAGCTGTGTGGCCTTGGTCAGGTTACTTATCTCTTTGCTCTTTACAGTCATACCTCAGTGCTCGTGTACCTTAGAACTTGTCAAACCCTGTACTCACTGCATTTTGACAAGAAAAAAAATATGTCATCAGTTGGCACTGGCTCGGGACTCATCACACTTGCTAGAACTTGTATGAGTCCTGATGCCACCATTCAAGAGAAAATGCTTCATTGTTCAGTACTCATCTGTTTCAGCACTCATCCCAAATTCCGAACAAATTAACTGCCAGGACCAAGGTACCACCGTAATTTCCACCTCTGGAAGACTGAGATAATAAAAGCAGTTGTTATGAGAATTAAATAAATAAATATTTGTAAAGCACTTAAACAGTGCTGGGCACAAGTATAAAGTGTTCACTTAAACAAACAAATTCTCCTATCCCATTGACTAAATGACAAACATGAAATGCATTTATTTTCCAGTAGTTCCTGCACTCGAGATCTCAAGCCTAGCTGCAGGAAGCCCTCAGCTTCAGCTTCTTTTGGCAGAGAAGGAAAACTGAGGTCTTTGGAACCTGACTTGAACTGACTCCTCCCTCCCTTCCTTTCTCCCCCTACATCGAGTCCATCAGCAGTGCTGTTGGTTCTACCTGAAACACAAACCCCAAATTTGTCTCTGCTTGGTTCTACCACCCATTGTGCTACCTTTACTTCTACCCTTGTTTCCCTACAACCCATTCTCTACCAAAGGGCCAGACTGTGCCAAGGAGACTGCCAATCAGATCTCATCACTTCTTTGCTCAAAGCTCTCCTGTGACTGCTCATCACACAGAGAGTGTAATCCAAACTCTTGCTCATGGCTCCCAGGGCATTTGACCACAGAACTCCCACTTACCTCCTCAGTCTCCTCTCTCAGCTTGCTCCAGTCATACCCAACCCTGCTCGGGACTTTCTCAAAGCACAATGTACTCTCTTCATTCGGGTCCTTTGTGATGCGGTGCCATCTACTTGGACCACTTTTTTCCTACCATGGTCTTCACTCGGCTGACTCCTGCTCCTCCTCCAGATTCAGCCCAGACACCACTTCTCTGGGAAGCCTTTGCTGACTCCTCACCTCTTGACCTTGGCTATGATGGGTGCCCCTCCTCCTATGATGGGTGCCCCTCCTCCATGCTCTCATGGCATCAGTTTCTTCCCCTTTTTAGAGTGTGCCACTCTGTACTATCTCTGCCTGTTCACTTGTTTGCAACAACCCACCCTCATGGCTGCTCTTTTTCACAACTGTAGGTCCAGCACCCAGCACAAGTTTGCCACAGATTGGGTGATTTAATAAATGTCTGTTTAGTGAATCTTGATTTTACTATTCCCCAGGTAAATGACCTTGCATAAGTTCTCTTTGAGTCTGTATTCCAAATGTAAAATGGTAGGGTGATAGTTTGCAAAGCTGTTGTGAGGATTAAATGAAATAACATGTACAAAGCACACAACACAGAGTAGGCACTCAATAAACAGCAGCTATTGTTGGGTAGCAACTGGTCAGAAAAAGACAGAAAAACAAGCCTCTCCTCCCTGCTCTCCTATATACACACCCATCCTGCTTCCCTCCTGTCTTTGGTCTCCTGAATAAAGCTGGAAAACCTGACCCAGCAAAAATAATCCCCTTCAGTAAACTCTGGGAGAGAACTATCTTCTGTATCAACAACACACCCTTGGCTCAGTCTCCAGTGGACCAGCCCCAAGTTAGAGATCTGGCTTTTCTTTTCACCCCAGATATTTACAGTGTAAACCTTGGCTGATAGGGAGGGGCACACAGCCTATGCCAAGAAACCTCAGGAAGGAACTCACACTGGGTCCCCACACAGTAACGCACACTGTTCTGGAATGGGAGTGGGCTCTTCCATCCAAATGCTTTGTTGGCTGAGAGAAAGAAGAAAGGGGTCGTTTCTACAGTGAGATGGACTTACAGAGGCCAAGTATTTCTCTCCAAAATCTGATTGTAGTCTGTCTGTTCGGTCTAGCAGAGAAAAGGCCCAAGTTCTAGTTCAAGCTCCATCTTAACTTTTCTGTCTTCATGGTGAAAAGAGTGAACAATGTTGGATGCCCCACTTCCCACTTCTAAATTTCAGCTGAACTGGAACCTCCAACTGATGACCCCCAACTGCCTAAGAGTTGGCATTCATTTTCAGTAAATATATTTTGGTTGCCTAATGCTTCTTTGACTTAAAATTGGAAAGTTATCTTCTGATACATGTCATAGATACATTTACTAGTCAATGTGTACCTACTATTTTACTCTGCCTTTTCCACTTAACATTATTCCATATAAATATTTTCTTGTACCAGTAGAGTTTGTGAAATTGTCAAATTTGGTGATCATATTATAACCAAATGTATTAGAACTTGCAGTCTGCTTAGCCAAATCCCTATAATTGGTTGTTTGGGTTGTTTCTATTTGTTGCTATAATAAATAGCAAATAATAAATAGCACCTTGTATAATTTGCTTTGGGAAAATTTCTTCTCATGGATATTTTTCTCTGGATGCAAATTCAATTTTAGAAGTGGGGAGGGAGGGAGACAGAGACAGAGGAAAGAATGAATGAGAGCTCTCAACACACACTAAGAAATCAAGAAAAGTAGATGAGCAGTGTATGTGTTATTTCTTTTCTTTAAAGAAACTTTAAAAAAAAACTTCAGCATGGTTCTAAGCCATAATACCCTGAAACCACCAACTTTTTTGTGCTAATTATATTTTTCTAAAATACATTAAAATAATTTCATGACTATATAAGTTAAAAAATATTTAGCCATATACCACCTGAAATTAAGTCATGTACCACCAGTGGCCTGCCTACCATCCTTGAGAAAACTATAGCTCATACACAAGTCATCAGGGACCTGTTTCATGAGGGTAGGGTATATCTAGGAGCCCAATCTCTAAGCAGGGGGCCTCTGGAATCCATTCCCTTCCCTTACGTTAAAATTCACATTCTTTTCTGGAAAAATTTTTTTAGAGAAATGCAAATTAAAACCACAGTAAGATATAGCCTCATTCCTGTCAGACTGACTATCGAGTGTTGGATGTGGAGAAAAGGGAAGCCACCCTGTGCACTGTTGGTGGGAATGCAGACTGGTGCAGCTACTCTGGAAGACAGTATAGAGTTACCTTTAAAAAATTAAAAATGGAACTGCTTTATGACCCAGTGATCCCACTTTTGCATATATATCTGAAGAAACCTAAAACACTATTTCAAAAGAATATATGCACCCCTATGTTCATTGCAGCATTATTTACAATAGCCAAGACATGAAAGCAACCCAAGTGCCCATCGACAGACGAGTGGATAAGAAGGCTGTGGTACATTTACACAATGGAATACTATTCAGCCATAAAAAGGATGAGCCTGGCCCAGTGTGGCTCAGTTGGTTGGGCGTCGTCCTGCAAAATGAAAGGTCGCGGGTTCGGTTCCTGGTTAGGGCACATGACTGAGTTGCAGGTTTGGTCTCCAGTCGAGGCACGTACAAGAAACAACTGATTGAAGTTTCTCTCTGACATTGATGTTTCTCTTGCTCTTTCCCCCCTCCTTCCCCTGTCTGTGGAATCAATAAAAAAGAAAGAAAGGATGAAATACTGCCATTTGAAAAACATGGATGGACCTAGAAGGTATTATTCTAAGTGAAATAAGTGAGACAGAGAAAAACAAATACCAAATGATTTCACTTATATGTGGAACCTAAAGGGCAAAATAAATGAAAAAACAAAACAGAAACAGACTCATAGTTACAGAGAACATATAGATGGTTGCCAGAGGGGAGGAAGATGGGGGGATTGGGTGAAATAGGTAAAGAGATTGAGAAGTACAAATTGGTAGTCACAAAATAGTCACAGGGATGTGAAGTTCAGCTTAGGGAATATAGTCAATATTACTGTAATAACTATGTATGTTGCCAAGTGGGTACTGTAAATATTGAGGGGACCACTGTATAAAGGGAATGATTATCTAACCATTATGCTGTACACCTGAAACCAATACAGAATAATACTGAATGTACCCATTTGGATCAAACTCTAG